GTATAAAAAGAGCATTTTAGAGAGTCAGAGTGCCTCAGAAGTAAAGATGGGCAGAGGCTCACCAATCTCTGAAAACCTGTGTCTAAAAATTGTCGAACAATTTCATAATAATGTTCCTAAATGTAAATTTTGCAAAGACTTTAAATATATCATCATTTGCAGTGTTATCTCAAATAGTATTATCAACCCTGCCCAGTTCACCTATGTGTGCTACAAAGCACCACCCCCTATGTTGAGCACAAGAGCTGTGTGTATCTGGCAGGCTTAGCAAGTGCAATAAAAGAAAAAATGAGTAAAAAGAAGAAATCTAAGGCTGGGTTCACACCTAGGCGGATTGAATATGCACGTTTTTCGCGCGTTTTTTTACCGCGATTCGCTGTAAAAAATCAGCGCGAAAAACGCGCGTTTCCGAGGGATACTTGGCTGTATCCCAATGGAACCGCCCGACCAAAACGCCCCAAAGAAGTACATGTACTTCTTTGGGCGTAGGGCGGTTTCCCGCACGTTCGTACTCGCGGAAAACCGCCCAGATGGGAACCATGCACATTGAAAATAATGTCATTTCGCTGTTTGAGCATTTTTCCGCGAGTACGAAAGCGCGGAAAAACGCCTAGGTGTGAACCCAGCCTAATGCAGCCACCACATGTAAGCCAACATATATTGAATTTTCGATCCTTGCTATATTTAAAATTTGCTTTTTTTTTAACATTTCATTGGCAGCTCAGCCAATGTTTCTTTCTGCCTGGTATTGTCATTTCCACAGTACAGACTGCACAAAGAATTTGAGATGTGTAAAACAGACAAAAACTAAGTAAATTGTTCACGATGACCACACACCTGGCAATGACTGAGGATTTGATGAGAGATTCAGGTAAGAAGCAATGGCTCGTAATTGGGCATGTTGAAATACTAATTGATTTCTTACAATCCTCTTATTACTAATGCTATGGGGTTTATGTCTGGTATTTTACCTAATTCCCCTCAGGATCAGTAACAAAAACTCTCAGTGGTGATCCCGGAGATGAGGACTGCTGAACAATAAACTGTAGATCCCCAGTACAAAAAGTATTGTTTGTTGGTTAATACACAGAAGTACGTAATATATAGAATAACGCGTAACAAAAATGCATATGAATGTGAAAATAATGGCTTAGCTGTCCATCACTTGTAATCATGATATTTAAACAGCCAAGGCAGCTCCATGAACTGATTTAAGTTTATTGGGAATACTGTATTGATCATCGAATCAATACAGTGGCTATTGAGACCCTAATGTTTGTTGGGTGGATAATTACAATAGCCAAGCCCACTACCATGATAGACTATAATTTCAATACAAATTAGTAAATTGAACATGAGATTGTAGTCCATCAGGGAGTAAGCATGGAGCAGTGGCTACTTTATAGCACACACAGGGACCATGGGGAACAAAAGTAGCCACCCTCCAGAAGGAAGGACAGTGGCAGCATAAATTCAGAGATGATTTGAGGATCTACAGCTGAGTGAAGCCTCTTGCTGCTCTTGCTGCGATCACATTCTTCCTTCCACTCATTTCCAACAATTCCTCCAGTGCTGGTGCCGGTCTCTGATCCACCGCAGACTCCTCATGTCCCACGTGCAAGCTCCCGGCTGCCCGGCTGCGTCCGTTGAGCTTCAGTGTCTGTTTTCTCCCCTCCCCTCTATTGTGCATTTGCCCGCACACTTCTTTTTAACAGCTGTTCAGGTGCTGGGAGTACTTCAGCCGGGAGCGAGCAGCGCTGGAAGAGGTAAGTAATTAGGTATTTGCCTCATTTTTTATTAATTTTTTTATCATGAGGCATATATGCCAAAAAATAAGAGACTTTAATTCTACTTTAACTGCTGAGTTTAGTGTAATTTTAATACACTTGTCACAATGCTTTGTGTGATAGTGTGCTGTTAATTTTATATTTCATGTATCTACACCACCTGCTGCACTCATGCATGAATTCTCTGTTTCTCTTCCAAATGGAGCTACTCTATAGACTTGGGTTTGATGCCCCCAAGTGGTTATGATATGTTTCTTGTTCTCTTCTCTCTCTCTACAATGTACCTTTGTTTACTGTTAATTTAAAAAAAAATGGAATTGCTGTTCCAATGAAAAAAATGTTGATCGAAAAATGCATATGTTAATCCAATCACTAAAATCTCATATATAGGTTAATCTCATTTCAAAAGTCATTTTCTATATTTAAACCCACAGCTGTCATTAAAGCTAAACTCCAGAATAAGCAAAAAATAAGCATGTACATTCTTATTTGAATCTTGTGCAGGATTGTCCTGTAATAAAGACCAATCACTGCTGTTTTCTCTTCATGTGCAGGATGACTGGCCTTGTCTCCACCCCTTCTGTTGTTTTCTGCAGGCAGCCTCTACTGGGTGGGGCCTGATGGGTGCCTCCCACAGCTCTGCTCTTTGTACAGGTTTTGTACAGCACTGTAGCTGGATTTGCAAAGGCATTTGGTGTACACAAAGAGGATTTATATCTTATTTGGCTATTGAGAAATATATTTATATGAAAGTTTTTGTGGCTTGAAAAAATTACCTGGTGAGCTGCTATAAAAGGTCCTTGGTTGAAACATTTACAGTTATATGGTGACAACGCCTTATATATCTGTCTATGCTGACATCCTTTGCACAGGCCGGTTTAATTGTCAACATCAGGAAACTCGCCTTATGAAATAACATGCAACCAACACTGGAGAGCATGTAGACTGCAAAAGGCTTTTGAGATCAGCAGCACTGCAAGAATTAAAACTTCTAAAAACCCAAAAAAGGCAATTGTTTATGACAGACAGCGTTTTAGCATACTAATTGGTATTCAGTTAGGTTTTACATCTACTTTATTGGGGTCCCACCTATCATTCTCCATGCAATAAAATAAAAAAATAAACCAACAGGGAGAGCGACATCCCCTTCATAATGACCATGGCAGGGGCAAAGTCTGAGGAGCTCAACCACAGGGATCTCACCAACAAAGACCCCCAGAGAAATGGGAAATTGTCAGATTTAGTTTCCCAGGAGCTAAAAATCTTCAAAAATTAAGTATAAGTTTTGGGTGGACTAATCTTTCAAGTGAAAAGAAGAACAGCATGAGAAAGGCTGCTCCAATCAGGGTTTATCTTTAGCTCATATATGATGAATCATTGTCCCATGTACTGTATATTACACATCCTGTGTTTGTGTAAAATCATTTGTGCTTTTATTTATATGTATTGCCTTGGGGAGCCATTGAATGGAACCAGCACTGCAACATCAACATGGACTGACATGGTGCTCTGTGTTACTATAGATTCAGTAAAGTGTATATAAACCCAGAACTAAAAACTTTTTTCCTTTTACGGTGCAGGCTTGTGTTTTTTTTTTCAGTTTGTATGACAACTCTGCCATATGGCTTATTACAACTACGCACTCCATTAATGGAAAGGTTTCATGCATTACGGGGCAGTGATTGGGAGAGCAGCGGACCTAATGCATGGAAAATAAGCACTGACAATACATGCTCTGTAATGCAGGTGCAACACGCATAGTACTGTGTGTTAATATGTCTTGTGGTGACAAGCACAGACCTAAATGGTTCCTTAGTGTAAGTCTATGCAAAAGCAGGGTTGTCACCCTAAGATGCACAGTACCACGGCAGTACAAGCAAAGCCACCATTATACTTCCTACACCTCTAGGCCAACTGCATTGTGCCATCCTTCTTCCCTATTCATCTAGCTAGCCTTAGTCAGTCGCATCTCTGGTATCATCACTCAGCAAAGATTTATTTTAAAATCAACACAAGTCCATATTGCAATCCACAGCCTATATTGGCTATGCAGAAATCCAGCCCTGGGTATACAGTAAGATGATGAGCCAATGCAACGCCAACTTGATTGTTATCATTGTGGCCCTGCACTTCAACAGAGCCATGCAGGACCACTCACAGCCCACCTTAAATAACACATACCTCATCTACATACTATACTTTGAGTACCTAAGCATAGTGATCCATACGGCTTAATGTGATTCTTTTACATTGAACACTTGGGAGAACATGTCTCCAAGCTAAAGCATGTTCCTCTGAATTTCTTGGTAGTGTCCCAGTTGTATATCCGAAAATGTACTTGCATTTAAACGTGACATTTTTGCAGTCCTTTCCTCCCTAAATATGCCTTTACTATGACCTATTGTCACTATCTACTGTCAGCAGCTCAGTACTAATTGGGTGCTAACATCCCTCCATCCAATCCACCTAATTTAAATGGGGTAATTGCTAAATAAACAAGCACATTATTATTGAAAATACTAGGTACCACCGCCCCACTCTGCTAATCTGGGTCCTTTAAAAAACAATTACACTGATTTGTCAGCATGGAGCGATGTGCCTTGTGCCAAAAGCCATTGTCTCTCCCCCAACCACATTAACCCACTAAATAATCATATGAAATAAATGCTGCATTTTCGGCAGGATTAGTCTAATAGCATTAAAGGATTTATTTATTTATTTTATTTCCTTGAAAAAAAAAAAACTTTTTTTTTCATGAGATTACTTATTGCTTGAGTGGTTTTTCTCAATGCGGCAAGGATGGTGTCTGTGAAATTGAAAAATTAAGAAAAGAAGCGATTTTATACGTTAATGGTTTAGAATAAAAGAGGAGTTAAAAGCCCTGTGCTCATCTTCTGGAGAAAGTTGAGATCTTCTGGCAGGGAAAGATAACACTGTCCCTCTAGGTGACCCCCCCTAGTGTCCCCATTAGCTGCTAATTACTTGCCAAACAAATAAACAATTAACTCCTCTTGCCTCTTGGTGGGAGAGTCTTCATTGAGATGCTAAGACTTTCTAATGAGAGATTTTAATTAATGAGGTTGTAAATCCGGCCCCCTTGTTAACACAGCTATAAGGAGGGCCACAAAGCCCATCTTCTAGCATTCTGGTTTTGTAGGATCTACAGGAAGCTTGAGAATGTCAAGTGGGTCTGTTTGTGAGACTGGCCCTAGGATGTCGTCAGAGCTCCAGAAAGGTTCTTTTCTTGGTAACAACAGGACCTCAACTAGCTCATTTTCCATAGAAAGCATCCTCGGACTAGATAAGAAGGGGGACTTCACTTCAACTACCACCAGTAGGCATTACAGGCCTTGGATGGAAGAGTACTGTAGTAGAGGTAAGCCATCACACATTACTTTAGTTCGCTTTCTATAAAATCCATAATGTTTATGTTATCACTAATATTAGTTAATGTATTATGTTAAAATATCCAACAACCTTTTTGGTCATACTGCATGATTCAGAGACATTGAGGCTGAGTTACTAAAGGAGTAGAACATCTTCACTCACTAAATATTTACTTAAATTATTCAATTATGTGATAACAAATTCCTGTTTACTTTGATTACCCATTATATGTATAATAAGTCAGCAAATAATAATTTGTTATTGTGCCCATCATATATTGAGTGAAGATTCTCAACTCCCTTAGCAAATCAGACCCATTAATGCAGTTATTTCAATAAAGAGTTCTATTGCAAAAAATTATAATACATATAATTATAATAGTGCTAAAACATAGATATTCTGAATACTTTAACTATTGCTCATCTGTTTTTTTTGCTTTTCCTTGAATTCCCTACACCTTTATTTTACTCCATCTCTTTTATTGCCACTGTATATCTCATGCTGTAATCATTTATCATTAAATAATCAGTAATGTACATATTTGACCAGAAATTTGCCAACCATTTTCTTAAAGCAACCATATAACTATATGAAAACTTGTAATTCTTTAGCAGGTGGGGGGCGACATGTTGCCCAAGCCCTGTAAGATATACATAGGTATGCTGAAACTTGTAGATCTTCAGCAGGTGGTGGGTGGCATGTTGCCCAAGCCCCTAAAGAGATTTTTCAGAAATTAGTTTAGATTGCATTTATTCTTTAGGACCAGATTGTATCTGTTGTCAGTTAGTGCTATCAAGTGTGCCATCAGTTGTGGTATAAACATTAGTGAGTGTTTGTCTGAATACAGTGATCGTTCAGGTGATGGAAACACAAGTGGGATTTAAAAGTACAGAGTACACTTTATATTGTTAATCAGATGTCATTATAATACCTGGGCCAGCTATTTAATTATAATGATTTATTTTTCCTTTTCAGAAATTGATACACCTTTCTGGAGCCTCCCTATCTTCACTTGTGAAATACCTCTTCAGGTTCATACAGTGCGACATACACTAGAAAAGGAAACTGATGGGCAATATGAAAAGTGCTGTACAGCAAATGAACGCCTGACGTATAAAAGAGAAATGAGCTGGTATAGAGGAAGGAGACCCAGAACAGCATTTACTAGAAGCCAGGTAAAAACAATGTTCATCATTATCAGATGTAAATCATATTGATCCAATGTATATTGCGTCCAAAATATGCCCTCAGTATGGAGACAATATTTTTCGGTCACTAACATAGCAGTTAACCAGCTTCTTCTATGAATGGATTAGAACAGTATATAGATCATGTAAATTTTACTTACCATTGTTATTTAATGAGGTGTAACTCCATCCCAATTTTTTTTATGTTATGGATAGAGTAGGGAAGGTTTGGAACCATTGCAAGGTTCTGTGCCCCAGTGAAAGAATTTCCCCTCCCTTTATGTTTAAGAGTCATGATTAAATTAAGTGGAAATCTTTCCAAAGTGCAGAGAAGTACTACCTTCGAAGGCTGTCACCAGTACGAGTTAAAATGTCTTTTCAGCCTAATGCATTTAGTTTATCAATTCAATCTCTTTCTTCTTTTGCAGATTGAGATTTTGGAGAATGTGTTTAGAGTCAACTCATACCCTGGTATTGATGTGAGAGAAGAACTTGCCAACAAGTTGTCTTTAGATGAAGATAGAATCCAGGTAAGATACATGATAAATATGTATTGTCTATATGGGATATGTTGGCTTTCGGTACTGAAACAAGTAAAACAAACTGACCACAACAAGTTGCCTTTTCTTCCATAACCTTTAAACTCTGAAATTAACCCTCAACTTCTAGCCCGTCCCTAGAAAGTATGGAGGCTGCTATTACTGATCTGCCCTAAAATTCACACCGGCCCGTTCGGCATTTGTCTCCCGAGCACCGTTCAAACCAGCCGAAAATCGTACGATTCTCGGCTGGTTTTCTAACATGCTCCTTAGACAAAAGACGTGCAACCATACAGTAGAAATGGTCGCACGTCTTCGTTCACACTGTTCGATTTTCGTACGATCGCGGGATTTCCCGTGATTCTCGTACCAGAATCGAGCAGTGTATGGGCACCTTTATTCTCAAAGGTTCCCAGGACTTCCACTTCAGAACAACACTATCCTTCAAGAGCAATTATCATTCATTAAAGAGCAGCCCTGCATGTACTGTATATTTGCTGTCTATCCCACTTTATAGAGTACATATGGGCTTTCTGCGACCAGATGTTTTCTATTAAGTACTTAATCACAGCTTGTACGTGTCACATGTGTTAACCTCATTCAGCATATCCCAGGCACCTGCCCTGCCAGAGCTGTATTTCTGAATCAGTCCTATCCTAGGCACTGCAGGAAAATATACTTTATACGGGTAATTGGGCACCCTACAAGCTCATTCCCTATCTCTTCCCAACTCTGCTGTTCTGGTATTCTGAATAGGGGAATCAATAATTAGTAAAGACCAAGGAACACAAAGGAACAATAGACCTAATTTATATAAACTAGTAGAACAACAAGTGATGTTCTTTTCTAGTTTGCATCCTGCTGCAGAACATTGACTCATGTGTTAAAATTAATAGATCTTGGAAACCCAAGTTTCTAAAGTTTTTTTTTTTGTGTAAATAAATCTGTTTGCACTCTATCCTTGTGCAACCCAAAACAGATGTTTTGTTTGGCTGTCATCATCAGCCCTGGTGCCAATCTTTATCCTAATTGTGATAACATGCTTTTATCGAAAAGTGCACTCTTAAGACACTGTGGGGTGAATTTATCAACGCTGGAGCAGACAAAATCCCTAGCAGCTCTGCATGGCAACCAATCAGCTTCTATCTTCAGTTTGTTCAGTTAAGATTTGAAAAGGAAAGAGAGAGGCTGATTGATTGCCATGCACAGCTGCTTCAGATTTTGTTTGCTCCACTTTTGATAAATTCCCTACTGTATATCTAATGTATTTACCCCTTTTTTTTTGCAGATCTGGTTTCAGAATCGCCGAGCCAAAATGAAGAGATGCCATCGGGAGTCTCAGTTCCTGATCGTGAAAGAATCCTTAACACCAAAAATCCAGGAATAAGGACATCTCTACTTCATGTTATTGCAAAATAGTCAACTTTAGTATAGTCAAAATGGTCAACAACCAGTGACTTGTTAAATATCGCCCTAAGTTACCTCTGGACTTGCTTGAGAAGGTCACTTGGCCAGTGCCTAACATACAAAAGTGCAAAAAGCCAGCTAAGTTAAAAAGGTTACGGTTTTCTACAAATTAATTCAAAGAAACCTTTTGGGCAATATTGAAAATGAAACTTTAAATGCATACATATGGGCATTGGTGTGCCATCGTTCAATATACCATTGCCCATATGTATGCATTTAAAGTTTTCTTTTCAAAATTGCTAAAGGGTCAGACCAACCAATAGTGAAATGTCAGTTTTTGATAGATGCTGAACAGTTAAACCACCTGACACTTTATATGTTTTCTTGGTAACTCTATTGGTGAGATCTCTTTGTTGAGTTCACAGGTCTGCATACCTGCTGTGGCCTAGATTTTCATTTATTTAATAATATTGATAATGCAATGGGAGGTACTAAAACAAGCAAATATGGGCAGGAAAACCTAACACTCTCAGCTGGACAGGAACAGTTGAGAATCATGGCAGGAAGATATTGCTGATGGAGAATCCAAGTCATATATGAAACCAGGGGCAGACTCCACACCCAGACCCCCAGATAACTTGAATGCCCCCTGTTGTGTCTTGGGGAAGAGAGTGAAGGTACACAGCACATCATTCAGTGACAAGACCCTGTAGTCCCACCCAAATGAACATGTGGGAGAACAACAGCCTAATGCACAGATTAGGGCACATTGAGTGGGACCTCTTACTTTAGCGTAGTTTTTATAGTGTAAGCGGTTCTCGGGCTGATTTTACTTTTTGATTTGCATTACCCTTATTATATTTTTATCATGATTTATTGAATGGTACTTTTGTGTTGCTTTTCATTACACTGGAATTCATCTGACAACAAACGGGCACTTTTTGGTGTACGCCGACAGTATATTCAAATATATCAATCCAAACAGTGTGACAGTAATGCTTTTTGGAGTCAGCAAACTTTTTTGATGGCCTAGGAGGCGATTAAATGCATTATTCTGTTATTCTGGTATACTGCGGTAGTTAACACAGTTTACATTTGTAAATATTTTGTAATATAATATTATGCCCATGCACTTTTTGTAAATAGAAATTTTTTAATGTTTTAATAAATATTTTTAAACACAATCTGTATTCGGAGTCCTGCTTTCTGTGCAGAGTGACAATGAGTGGCATTGTGCTGAACCCATACCAACCCTACACATGATACTGTAAGAATTTACCCAAAAAAACGTAAAAATAAAAATTGCAAACCACACCGCAGGATGAAA